AGTATTTTGGACTGTTTTCCCAGATCTATTTTCCCAAATCGTCCCAGAAAATCCCACAGGAGCTGCGCCTCTGAATATGGACCTGTGCATGAGGGCTTTTCTCAGCTCATGTCACTTGGCGATGCGCCATCTCAGCTGGGATCGACGATTTTTAGTCGAGTTAAAGCTACCACTATTTGTCCAATCATACAGTTAAAGCATGTAAAAGCCCTTGATACCAGTCATGAGTCATAAAGGGTTATTTTTATGGGCTTATCATTCCATGAATGAGGTTATAATATGCTATAACTGACTTATAACTGTTAAAGGGCCAGAACTGTAGCTATTAGTCATGGCTAATTCCCTCAGCCCCAGGACTTGACTGTTTGGGGAACACGAACAAGTTCAGGGGCCTTTTCACACAGTTGGGATAAACAATATCCCATAACATACTTTGGCTCAAGCATGCTGAAGCATGCGTAAAAGTGGCTGGACCGCGGCAACTTGTGGTCATCAGCCGTAGGCTCATCCCGCTCTTTCTTTTCTCGCCATTGCGCCTGCGCCGGTGTTTTTCCTCGCGTTGGTTCCTCCTTCTCTTTTCGCCTTTGCCTCGCCGCGCTGCGATTGCTGCTGCTGCTCTTTTGGCGAAGAACCCCAAAGAGTTGTGCTTCGGCCTGCTAAGGTTGCGTCGTCCACTTTGGTTGTACCACCTCCCCCAAAGAAGCGTCCTGTTGATATACCTCGGTTGAACCCCAAACTTGTAAGTCCAAAGGTCCCGCGGTTGAGTTCCCCAAAAGACCTCTTGAAAGGGCGATCCAAGAAGCGTGGGTTAGTGTAGATTTCAACGGTTGCGCTAACGTTGCAAAGGCAGGAGACGTGGAGGTTCCAGAAATCCACCCCGATAACCAAGCTGCTTTGAGGGATTTTTTAAGTGCTACTGTTGATCATGGTGTCAGGGTGGGGATCACATCCTATATTGGTGTTGGTGGACCGAGGAGTCAAGACCGTAGGGCTTCGTTGACAAAAACAGTAAGGGAATTCAACGCTTCTGCCATTGACCCACGGTGCAAGATTGGGGTTAGGATTGTCAGTGGTAGGGCTGATAAAGGCCAATTTCTCCGTGAAGCAGGGGCTTGTATTCACGTAGACGACCGTCTTGACACATTGGACGGAGTTTGGCAAGAAGCACCAAACATTACAACATTTTGGTGTACTAATCGCCCACACAATCGAAACCACCAGGTTGTCCGCTCGTTAGCACAGGCGTTGGATACCATCCGCTCGCAAAGGATTCCTGCCACCCTGCACCAACGCCCCTTCGAAAGCTTTTGGGTGGTGCCTTGAAAACAAAAGCCGATTTTTGGAAACTCAGCGTCAATAGTGGGGGGGGGAGAATCAGGCGTCATTGTCGTTGACCCAGTGGCACCCATCAAACCGGAACCCACTGATGGCCCTGCGCCTGCCGCGGGTGTCAGAGGGGAAAGGGGAGATGACCCACTGGAAATCAGCGAAGAAGACGCGGACAAAGAAATTGATGGGATACCTCCAAACCACCTCATGACCCACTTACCCAAATCAAGGACTTGTGACACGTGTAAGAGGGCCAAGTTGTATGAAGCTCCCCATCGCAGGCATGAACACATGAATGCAAGACTGCGGGAAGCGAGACGAATTGAGGCACCAACATCCTGTATACCTCGAAAAGATTTCGGCCGACCACAGCGTTACGCGAGACGAGGTTGGTCACAAAGGCGAAGGTTACACCATAGTCATTGTTGATCAATTCACTGGTCTGACCTCCATGGTTCCAGTTAACACCAAGCATTCGGCATTAAGAAGGTTTGTAGGTAAGAAGAGACCAGGGGTAGTTCAGGTAGCTAGCGACAGGGCTCCAGAGATTCGAAAGGCCGTGAGGGACCTTGGGTTTGCTAGTGAGCCGGCTCCCCCCTACCAAAAGATTCACAACCCATTGGCTGAATCTATGGTCTGCACCATTAAGGGTATGACTGCAACAAAATGGTGCATTCCGGGTTGGACCTGCAGTATTGGCCCTTGGTGCAAAAATATTTGGAATGGGCGTACAACATCACCACAACTGCTTCTGGGGTGGACGATGCAGATGAATGGAAACCCACCAAATACGAAAAGGCTATGGGGTATGTGGTTGATTCCTTCTTGATTCCATTTGGGGCACTTGTGTGGTACCATGATCCCAATCCATTGGCCTATGGCCCTAAAGGGGCTGCAGCATTGTTCTTGGGGGCCGAACTGATTGATGGCTTCTTGTTCAAGGGCAACTACAGAGTTTGGCCGCTGGACAAAATCAAGGAGGGAGTGCTCAAGGAGTTCGTCACTCGCTCTTTGGCCATACCCGGGGGTCCATGGAAGTTCCCAGCAATATCCCAAGAAGAAACCGTTTCAGCATTGGAATTACCAGTCCCAGAGGATGAGCCATATGAAGCGTCTATTGCTAGGACTGAAGATTTGCAGGATGGATCTGACCCACTGTTGGAGTTGTTTGAAGAGGATGAACCCACTAGCCCTGTGCCTGGCACGGGTGGTGGGGGAGTTGGAGGGATTCCGTATGAACCCAAAACCACGGGATCCACCACGAAATCCAAGAGGCATAGATCCATCACTGACTTGAGAATTGCGGTCCATGGCAAGACGCCAGGGTGTGGAGGGTGTTCGGAAGGTACATACTCTCATACCCCTGAATGTAGAAAACGGTTCAATGACATCCTGGATTCCCAAGAACCTTCAAGGACCCGTAAGAAAATGGAAGGGGATAAGGATTTCATGGCTTTAACTTCACCAATCACTGGTCAGGAACTTCGTGAACAGACCCTCGAACAAGGGACGGATGCTGTTGCGGCCATTTACCTCCAAGCCATTGAAGAAGGGCACGGGGATGAAAAATTACTGGCAGAAAAGCTAGGGGATGGTCATGCAAGAAGCTTCCAGACCCAAACGAGTCAAGACTCAAAACAAAAGAAAATGGTTCGTGGAGTATTGTTGTTCAGAGAACGGTGCTTGTTGTAGGGTGCTAACTTGCACAAAGGACTTTCGGACTTGGTTTCTGGTGTAATGCGCTGGTCCAAGATGGGTTTTGGGTATGTGCAAGGCAGATTTAACTAAGACGGTGCATGCAAGGGCGCAAGTGTGATTGCTGCTTCCTTGTCCCGTTTGAAAACTTTGCAGTGTTCCAGCTTGGCTTGATGTGGGTCCCTATGGGGCGGGGTTCCATGGAGGTCTCTGGGCGAACCTGACCGCATCATAGGGATCCTTATGATGCAATGAACGCAATTTCCTTTGAAAGGGGTCCTTGGGGTGAAAGGGGTCCGCGCGCGCGCGTGAATGGCTTTCATTTTTTGAGACCTTGCGCGCGCGCGCGGACCCCTTTCACCCTGAGGACCCCTTTCAAGAGAAATCTTCTTAATGGTTTCTTTGCGTGTCAGTTGGGCCAATGCTGGGCCAATGTTGGGCATCTGGGGGTCCAAGTGAGGAATTTTGAGGCCTAGTTGGGCCATGGAAGACCTCAGTTGGGCCTTAGTTGGCCAACTAAGGCCCAACTGAGGTCTTCCATGGCCCAACTAGGCCTCAAAATGCCTCAAGTTGGTCCCATCAAAGCCTCAAGTTAGAAGGTTCCAGCCAGGTATATTAAATATACCTGCCAAAAACGACTCAACTGCAGCCTTCCATGGCCCAACTAGGCCTCAAAATTCCTCACTTGGACCCCCAGATGCCCAACATTGGCCCAGCATTGGCCCAACTGACACGCAAAGAAACCATTAAGAAGATTTCTCTTGAAAGGGGTCCTCAGGGTGAAAGGGGTCCGCGCGCGCGCGCAAGGTCTCAAAAAATGAAAGCCATTCACGCGCGCGCGCGGACCCCTTTCACCCCAAGGACCCCTTTCAAAGGAAATTGCGTTCATTGCATCATAAGGATCCCTATGATGCGGTCAGGTTCGCCCAGAGACCTCCATGGAACCCCGCCCCATAGGGACCCACATCAAGCCAAGCTGGAACACTGCAAAGTTTTCAAACGGGACAAGGAAGCAGCAATCACACTTGCGCCCTTGCATGCACCGTCTTAGTTAAATCTGCCTTGCACATACCCAAAACCCATCTTGGACCAGCGCATTACACCAGAAACCAAGTCCGAAAGTCCTTTGTGCAAGTTAGCAGGGATGAGAAAGATTGCTGAGATTTGCTGAGTAATTATTGGGAATTTTGAATTTTTGTTTTCAGATTTTCAGTAACCCAAACATTCAGTAAAGGCACCCTCAAAAAGGCATGCACGACAGGGGGTTAAGGGTTATCAATTTTCTATGGAGGGGTTGGATTCATTCATTGGGGCGTATTTGACATGCAAACAAAACAGAAAACAACACCAATCAACACCATATTTTTTTGGGCAACCCAGGCGGTTTGGGCACAGCATTCTCACAGTCATACTCCACCTAACAGGATGGGGGCGCTCCAAAACCTGGTTGTTTGTCAGATTTTGCTAGTTTCGAATGCCTCGTTTTTTTGAAGCAACGATTTCCAGGCAGCCTTTGTTTTCATGTGGTGGTTGAAGACATTTACGAGATTCTACAAATTTGCTTGTTGGCTCAGCAGGCCAATGTGCCATGTGGAGATGGGATATGAAAGGCGCAAGCCAAAATCATGTGCATGTAGAGATGGTTGCAGACTGAATTTTTCTGAGAAGCTCTGTTTCAGCAATGGGTGGGGAGATTGAATTTTGAAACTCGCACGACAAAACTTATGTTTGTTTTGGCGCCAGGTCATTTTCATCAAGTTGGTTTTTTTTAATGTAAACCAGTTACTTGATGTTTGGGGATTCCCTTCAAGATGGTCACAAACGATAACTTTGTTTGGGGGATTGGTTCAGGAAATATGTGCAACTTCAAATATCATATTCAACAACTAAACCAAACTGAAAACAAAGTAGGAGCGACAGTTTTTCAAAATTGTTTATTGGCCATGGTTTTTCCGCTAGTGCTTTGGCTGGCTTCTATGCACACACTGAGTTTCCAGAAACATCGAATTTTGATTTCTGTAGAAGCGGAGTCAGACACCGACGATTTGGAGGCACATAGTTCAGATGAAGCAGCTCAGATTTGGGCGTTGGTTTGCATCAAAGCGATTCGAGTCTATCACTCCATGCTTCAGGTTCCTGCAGGCATCAAACGGCAACTGAAATTTTGGCAACAGATTACTGGAAAGAGTTTGCATGGTGAGGCATTCATTTTTGACATTGAGCATGTCATACCTTTGGCTTGTCCTGTTGATGTGCAGCAGTTTGGGGCGAGTCGTTTCAGGAGTTTGGTTGCTCCACTGGAGCCTGAGCAGGGCCCTCGCTTGTTAGGAAATTTGGAATCTGAAGGTCTGCGGCAAGATTGGGTGGGGGAAAGCCCTCCTTCACGTGTGTTGCGAGCCCCAAGACCCTTTATCCAGAAAGTTTTGAATGGGACATTCTCTGCAATATTGCTGCCGCACTTGCCAAATAAGAAGAGGAGTGGCTCATCTGGGCTCACAATGAACTGGCAGTTGTGCGGGTTCACATCTGAGGATGTGCCTGTTTTGCCAGGTCATGCTTCTACATTTCCAGATGCTGATTCCAACTTGGTTTTGGACACCAATGTTTTGGACGAAGCGATTGATTTTTTGCAAGCGTATGCAGCTACAATCTTGACCGATGTTGAAGACGCAGATTTTGAGAATGTAGAGTACTTAGCCCTGCAACGGTGTGTTGGGGTTTTTCAACGTCTTCTACAAGGTATGGACCCCAGTGCTTTTGTGCGATCAGCTAGAGAAATGACAGGCAAGGGCAATGCATTTTGGTATTCATCAAGGCGACCATATCAAGTTGCCTTTCTAGTCAAAGCTGTGACGATGGCCAACTTACTTCGGACTGCCGGCTCCATGCAAGAAGTTTTGCAAAGTGCAGCAGGCATCTTGTTGCCTGAAGTGCTCCAAGCCCCTTTCAAACACATGTTGGAAACATGTCGGCATTGCACGCCGCATGAGAGCACCATATCGCGTTGGAAACTCCTGCTTGATGGTGCGTTTATGTTGTTTCAGCGGCGAACCAACACTGAAATTCCCAGAGGGTCAGGAAGTGGCGCCATTCGCTACTTGATGGCAGATGCTTCAACGCAGCACGGGAGAGATTTTGAGCACATCATGGTCGCCAGTGTGAAAGCTTCTGATGTTTGCCTGCTGTTTCGCACTGCCTGTTCTCTTTTGGATACATGGAACCTGGGTTTTGCTTCAGATTCCGCTGCCAGTGGCAGTTCCAACATTTTTGATGTGAATAAGCCATTCACCTTGACATGATCGAGCTTTTTTTCCCTGAAGAAATTTGCTGACTTGATTGTCAAGGGCTGGCATGTTTGGATTTTGTGTAGCACATCAAGTTTTTGAGGCCACGATTCACATTGTATTGCCCCTTTTCAGCTGAGGCATGCTGTGGAGGATGATGACGCTCCTGCTTTGCAAATAGAAGAGGAACTTATGGCAACTCTCAGCTCTGGCATTGATGAGCACCATTTGCCTATCATGGCATTGGGATCTGTGCGCACGTCTTTGCAGGATAAATTTTGTTCGGTCATGTTTGCAATGATGTTGGAAGCTGGGCATTCAGAGGCTTGCTTGTCAAAATTTGCCAGAGACATTGTTGCTGGAACATTTGATCTCGGTGTGGAGTTTTCATTGAGCACGATTTTGCCGACTTCATTTCGTACATTGTTTCCTTGGTTTGAGGTTAAAGTGGAATGCCAGGATGCACCAGAGTTGGACGCTGACCATCTGCAGGATGATGGGTTTGATGTGGTAGTCGATGAGGAAGCGCAAGCTTCACTCTCATTTGCAAACATGTTGTCAGTGCCAGGTCCGTTACATGTACTGCACAATGCAACAAATCTTCTTATCAAACAACTGCCATATTTGGGCCAAGCAGTGCCCAGACTGGTTGCTCTGTCACGCTTCTTGAGTGGAAAGATTAGCAAGGAACGGTTGCTGGCAACATGTTTTTCAAGCCCAGTTGCTTCAATTTTTAAAGGAGATTTCACACGCTTCCATGCCAAAGTCAACGAGAGCAGGTGGGGATCTATAGCTTTTGCAATACCACAAATTTTGGATCTCAAGGCGCCCCTTGAGCGATTTTGGAGCCTTCAAGCTTTCAACCACGGCTCTGGCCAAAAGCCAGCACAGCAGCAGGCATCAGAAGAATCAGGTCCTAGGCTGGAGTACATCAATGAAACCATTGAAAGTCCAGAGTTTTGGGCCCAGCTACTTGCTTTGGACAAATTGTTTACAGTTGTGCGTGACTTGTTTGATTGGGTGGAGTCATGCCCATGCCACTACAAACGCCAAGCCCCAACAGACAATCCAGCAATCAAGCGAAGATGGCAGGCTTGCCCATTGCGCGGAAGGCGCTTGCCAGAGATTTCTTGCGGAAGGTTCTTTGATATCTTGAACCGGTTATGCTTGGCCAATGCTGCACGATTGTTTCTAGAGTTGCCAGATTCTTTGGCAGAGGATTGTCGAGCAGCGTGCCTTTTGGATTTTGAGCATGGTCGAGGGCATTTGACTTTTCAACTGACGTTGAAAATGGCTTGTTTCCTTGAGCCGCCGCTTTTGCTCTTTGGCCTTGCGCACCATGACCCAGAAATGCCAGACTTGCAGAAAGATGTGCTCCAACGTTGCATGTCATCCCAATGCCAACACCCCCTGGTTCAGAAACTCAAAGAGCAAAAATTGCATGAAGAAGCCGAACTTTTTATTGAAGGTGAAGACCTTAAGTTGCTTGAGAATCTGGAATTTTTCACTGCAAGTTTCCGATTTGCTTGGGGCACAGAGCGGAAAGTGGAAGGTGGCCATGCCCAGGTCAACATGTATGCCAGCGGCAGACGAAATCGCACAGAAGCAACCGACTCCTTGGCTTTGCGCTTGTCTGAAATCAAGCGCATTTTGTCGTCTTCCGATGTAACAGCATTTCTTGAATGCGTGCAAGTGGCCAGGAGCCCTCAGAAGCTAGTGTCCCAATTGGGGCTTGCCAGGCATCCTAGCTGCAGGCTTGCGAAAAATGGGTGGGACCCAATCTACCGGAAGACAGTGTACCACGCAGATCCTCTTTCATTGTACAACCGGGACCCGCCAGCATTGTTTTCTGCCAAGC